GCATCACAAGGACTGTGCATACACTAGGGCGTCCGTAGTGTAGGATAAGCACTGGTAAAAGGTATCAAGAATAGAAAGTCTTGAGGAAATAGCCGGTGTATGGTTATAGCACGCCTGGGGGGTAAATTTACCACCCGCTTATGCATGCATTAGGTTAGAAATAGGGGTAAACAACTTGTAACGGTGAAGTACAAGTCCTATGCAGCAAGCAGCAGCCAGCAGCAGCAGCAGCAGCCGCCTGCAGCCAGCAGCCAGCAGCAACCGCCAACCAGCAGCCAGCCAGCAGCACCACGCAGCAGCAGCGCAGCATCAAGCCGCAGCAGCAGCAGCACCACCGGCAGCAAGCAGAAGCAGCAGCAGCAAGCAGCAAGCAGCAAGCAGCAGCAGCGGCGTCGTCAGCAACAGCAGCAGCGGCACCAAGCCGCAACAAGTAGCAAAGCAGCAGCTACAAAAGCGGCAACCAGCGGCAGCAGCAAACAGCAGCAGCAAGCAGCAGAGCGGCAGCAGCAGCACCGTTTACACCAAGCCACCGTTTACACCCAACCAACCACGTTCACACGTTCAACCAACCCCCTACACGGCGCGCAGCTGGGAGTCGAACCGTGGGGGGGGGGTTAGCGTGATATATCAAGCTTTAAGGCACACAGCTCATCCCACTACCAATTGCTAAAGCAAAGAAGAACTCAGCTAGCATGCTAGCTTTCGTGATAAAAAATGGGGATGAAGCACCTGCTTCAGCTTGCAGGTTGGCAGTGTTCCTGTTGATTCTGCAGACATATCTGGAACTAGTGGCAGGAAGAGGCAAGGATTCCCAAATCCACAAGATGTGTTGAGCGCATCCAATCCAAAAAAAGACATCTCCCTAACTGGAGCCCAGCATAAACCAAATCAAACCTCCTGAAAACAGGACACCCACACCACCTCCACTCATTCTTGCACGGAAGCCCGTCTCCCGACCGCAACCATCCGAAAGCCGCCCACCTCTGAGCCGGACACCAGGGTCGCGCCATCGGGTGCCCAGCGCACGCAATCCACCGGCGAGCCTTCGAAGATGGAGTCCGGCACGGACCCCACCGAGGCCAGGAGGTTCATGGCAGCGAGGACGGCGCTCCGCATGGGTGGAGTGGAGGCGCTGCCGGAGCTCCGAAGGGTGGAGGTCCGGTCTGGAGCTGCGCGGCGGCTTGAAACACCGGAGCGGCACGAGCAAGAAGCTTGAGCAAGAAAAGGTGATGGTGACGATGACGATGACGATGATGATGACGATTTCTGCATGTGACACCCTTGTCTGCACTATCTGCAACTGCCCAAAAAGAAAAAACGAGACGCTGGATTCTTGGCCGAAGAGGCCTGAAAGGAGACAAGTGGATGTAGAAGTATGACCCAAGTCAAAGGTACTTCCTGCCTGAGACGTTAGAATGACCGCTCGCCGAAACAGAGATTAGCGGCTAGCGCAAACTGATCCCTTCACCACACTCTTAAACTTTACAGTGGTGCCTATAGCCCATTATTGCCTACAGTGACTCCGATATAATCTTATATATGGCGTCACTTATAGCATCCTTTTCTGCCTTGCAACTAACGTGCTTCGAGAGAGAAGCCTCATGTCGGGCTAGTGAAACACACTAGCCCGATCTGACTCTCAGAACACCGGTCTTCAGCGCTCCAGAACGGGTGAAACCTTTGCAGAAACGCTTCTGTCTTTCAGCATTCATCTCAGTGCCAAGGCAGTCTCGAACAGCTTGGTGGGCTTCGAAGCAAAAGCTGATACAAACGATGATGGTGTGTGACAATTTGTTGTTGCCGCGCTTGCATTTTTGCTGATCCTCTGTCCTCCATCACATTGAAGCAGTAGGCCTTGTGAGCACTTGCTCCTCGGCACCTCCGATTACATGCAGACTACAAGCCTGCCCTCTGGCCTCAGTTGTTGACTGGAGGCTTGCGAGTATCATAGGTGAAGATGGTCCTGGCCGCTTGAACATGCGACCCTTGGCCAAAATTGGGCCCATTGGGAGGGAAATGGGCATGCCTCGAAGGTTCTGATGTCTTCCACTTGGACACTCAAAGCTGTCGCATGGCCGCAGCATGGCCTCAAAGCCGTAGGCCCTTCCCGACCATCGCGCCTGCTCCCCAAGTGAAGCTCAGCCCCAGCCTAGCAGTGAATTTGGGGAATCCGTTGGGGCTAGAGTTTCCGGATCCTGGGAGCACCCAAATCTGGGACACGACCTCAATCAGGGCCGAGTGAACTTGACCTCTCTGCTTCAAAATCTGGACCAGTGGAAACCACCTACACCGGCTGTTGATGGAAGAAATCTCACCCACCTTGTTTCCCTAACACCCTCTGGAAGCATAAAGCTGTACATCAGGGGTCTAGTCACAAAAAAAACGTCATGCATGGTATGTCTATAGATTAGCATAGATTAGCCGTGACATATCTCTATTACAGTAACTTATATCATGGCTCTTTGGAGATTGATGAAGAAGTTCACTCCCTCAAGAGCAGGTCATCCAAACACCTCCCTGAGCGGATGACCTAGGCTCCCAGGCCCAGTCCGATGCACCAGCTTTGCGGAGGAGATCCGCAATCTGGCCGGTGAGATGGCGGAGCGGAATCAGCGGCCATGTATGACCTCCGTGAAAAATCAAACAATCCAAATCCAGGTGGCTTTTTAACATGGACCCTTTTGAACAGCAACATGCCCATCTTGGCAGGGGTGGGAAGGTGACTTGCCCAGCAAGTCTCTTGATGGCCAATTCTTCACCCAAAGGCACCCGGCGGCGCCTCCCTGGCACCCAAGCTCTGTGCCAGTGCCAAGGCACACACGCCATCTGGTGCCTTCACCAAGGGCTGGGAGAATGAATTCTGCAGTTGAAGTGGTGCGGATTCTGCAGTTGCTCATCTGGTAGGATCCGCATTCACAGCCTGTTCTTTTTAAGAGATTGGTGGCAAACACCAATCCGCTTTGCAAACTGGTGTCGCATTGACAGCACGACTGGAACCTACACTCCCTCGAATCATCATGGAAGTGGATGGCATCGCCATCGCCCCTTGGAAAACAATTTGTTCTACGAAACACTTGGCTTTCCACTTCTACGATTAGTTCCAGGTACCTCCTAAGCCTGAGAAGCTTTTCCGCGGAGCCTGCGAGTCCACATCGACCGGTGGCCAGGCGTGCGCAAGCATGGCTTTCACCTGCGTTGAAAGCCAATGAGGCGTTTCAACGGGGCAGGCGACTCGTGGCAAGCAGTGGCATTATTGACAAAAGTTTGCCAAACATCTCTGGCATGTGCGGACGCTCACGTTCTGAAATTCTTCTATCTGTCTGTCTGACAGCCCCGATGTTGGAATAAAAAAAGCACAGGGACACAAGACCAAGTCCACAACTGTGACTGTGATAGTCATCTTATGCCATGTCTTTTTAACTCGAAGCCACCCAATGTTTAGCTTCCCAAATTCATAGGTGTCCCCAACTTCCAGGCCAAGAAGACATACATGCTGAGGTTTGTCAGGCCAGTCATACATTTTGAAGCCACATCCAATTCTTCAACCTGCTTAGGTATATATAGAATAGAGGGATCGGTTTGGTATGGTTTGGTACCACATATCAATTGCTTCACTTTAAGATACTTTAAGATAATCTCCCCCGCAAATGAGTTATACAACAGGATCCAACATCAAAACAGATCAAAACCATGCAAAACCGCTTCCACCATGGGTCACTTCTCCTTGCTCCATCCTTCCTGCCAAAAAAAACCGACCAAACACCTCCCCTGGATACGTCGCATATCGTCGCGCACCAGGTCGGTGCGTTTGCTCTGCACCGCCAGGAGGAAAGGAGTGGTGGATCGGTGCGTGTCCCGATGATTCACATCGGCACCACCTGAGGTGTGGCAAGTGGCCTAGGCCGGCCTAGGCCCCTAGGCCTATGGAGCAAAGGTTTATGACTCTATGACTGAAATGTGCTTGGACATGATCTGACATTATTCAATCTACGGTGTTGGCCCTTGATCATCCAAATCTTGAAGGGTTCTGTGGCCTAGTCTTGACTCAACAAATACCACTTGTACCGGCATGAGGCTTGCGACAGCAGGGGGCAGGGAGGCGGTATCGTGTGCCCATCTATATACGCACATGAGAACTACGTTCAGGATACATGATTGTCAGTGGGAATTTGATGCTGATTGTCCAGGAAGGTCAGGGAACATACATCTCTCATACCAACTCCATACATCATACTCCTAAGGTCCTAAGAATTATTGTTTAAAACATGCCTGCTGGAGGTGCAACCCATGTTCATCAGTCACAAGAATCCTAGAAATACCCACGGCCGGTCGAGCCTCGTAGCAGCGCTTGCACACAATCCAAGCTTCCACGTGAAGGTGATGACCTCGGCAGTCATTGTGGTGTTCGATGAGCTTTGATGTCTGAAAAAACGGGTCCGGTGTCAATTGCTTGGGTGGTGAAACACAAATCTTGAAGCAAATCCAAGAAAACTGAAAAGGATTGTCAATTGCATTCAATTGCTGAATGTCCACTTCTCCGCTTTGTCGGCCAATGTTAAAGCCAATGGGTGTTGGTTAATTGTCGTGAGAGCTCAAAGAAGCGCCCAGCATGCAAGCGGCATCACATCATGGAGGTCCAAAGCTCAATTGGGTCAGTTGTCTGTCTGGTTTGATCCGATGTGAACTCAGCACTGCTGCCAGCACTGCAAGGCTTCCAATACAGCGGGAGTGAATGGTAGCTTTCTGAGGTTTCAAAGCAGCTTATAAAGTGTCCATCTTCTGTGCAACAAATCGTTTCCACCATGACTGTTCCAATGCTCAATCCAACTCCTCCAAACCGCAGTGGGTGCACTGCTGGGAGACCCCCGCAGGAGATGGTGGTGCAGCGCGGTCAATCCATCCAGATCCTGAAGCGTCTGCATCACTCCGCACGGCTCTAGAAATGTCAACGAGGTGACCAACACAGGTGGTCTAAACGTGTGCTGTATCAGGTGTCGACATAGTGTTTTTCTGAGCAGGTCCAGAAATGTCGGCTTGGCCTAACCTCAAACAGCTGAGAAACACCGTAATCTCCGCAGAGGAAACATGTTGTTCAGGCAAACCGTCAAACCTTTTCTCTCCCATTTGATGATGATCTCAGGGGGGATGACCAAGCATCTGCATGACATGCACACATCTCATGCAAAGAATCTCTTGGTTGGACCCCCACACCTCTGCACAAGGATCCGCTGCGGCAGAGAGCAGTGCAATCACGTCGTGTGCGGCGTTGTTCTTGACCTGCCCAGGCAGTACAACATATTGTCAACCTCTCCCCAGTGGCAGATCCACCTAGCCCGGACTGAAGTCCAGACTTGAGGTTTCCTTGGTCTCCATGGGGACACTTGGTGATGGTCCATGTTGTTTTTAGTAAGCTTTGTCTGTCGACATGTCACTCAAAGGGACCCTCCCGGAGGGACGGTCCGAACAGCACACCTTGAGGAACGAGGTCCACTCAGGATCAGCGTGTGACCTAAGTCGCGTGGAGGTGTGGTGGGTATGGTGGGTGTGGCCACTGCGCCGTCTGTGCTTGCCACTGCGCGTCGCGTGAGGCACGACCCTTCAGAAAGCAAGCACATCATACAATCCACTGCGGACAGGTCTATGTTATTGGAATTTAGGATGAAGCTCATATGGTCGCGTCCCTGGTTCACTAGTGCGTGAATCGAATCGAAAGCGACCGCTCTCTTCACAAACAACCAATGTCAAAGCAAACAGAGTCTCCAAAGGGCATGTGCGGGTGATATACCTGTGAAGGAAATGTCAATGTCAACCTTCCTCCCCAATCTTCTCACTACCACAAGAGGAACCCCCCTTCCAAGAAGACCTCAGAAAAAAACATATGACAACATCTTTGTAACTCACACCAAGTGACCAAATCAACTCCTCCGGCTCATCATCGCTTTCCTCCTCTGATTCCACCTCCTCCACGGTCTGATCTACTTCTGCTTCCCCCTCCAACACTTCAGGTATCTCCTCAGGAAATGCGTCCTGGACTGCCTCCTCCGCGGCGCCGGCCTCCACCGGTGCCTCTGGTGCCGCCTCTACCGGCGCCGTCTCCGGCACCTCCTCGGCAGGGACCTCGACCGCTGCCTCTACCGCTTCGGCAGGTACGGCCTTTGGAGCCACGGCCTCGCCCTGGCGGAACGGAGATGAAACATGAGGCGACGGAGATGAAGCTGGGATCTTGTTTTCGGAGTCTAAGACTGCCCGGCCTTGTATCAAACGAACTGGCAAACTGTGTTTGTTTACTTTTTTTCTGGCTGTAGTGCCAGAACCCTCCCCCTGGCAGAAACAAATGAAACAAGGACTTCACGAGTGGCAATACGTTGCACGTGCATTTTCATGCATTTTCTGAACCCAAATCCATCAAGAATGATCCCACTCTTTCGTTCCATCCATGGATGTGCTTGAATCATACATCAACTGACCTCTCGATGGGGCCAAAACTTCAAGTACACACATGTGAACAGTGGACAGATTTCAAGCTAGAGAGATCACATTTCCAAACACCTCAACACCATCTCGGGCTTCCAGGGCTGAAAGAAAATGTTCTCTCTGTAGATTTGTGGCCACTATAGAACATGGCAATGGGATCGCTCCTTATGCTTTCGGAGATGGGCAAATGAGCACAAATAAAGTGGTTTGAGTGTGCAAAATGGCGCAAGCATGCGCAAGCCACATCTCACTACCTTCCCTCAAGTGTAAGAGGACTCCCTTCTCGTTGGTTTGCTGAGTTATACCTAGCCTCCCTCCTCCTCGGGCGCGCGCCATCTGCCTTCTTTTTCTTCTTTTTCTTCACCGGTGGTGGGATATCCTCGACGAATGCACGGCCAGGGCCATGGAAACTGATGTAGAATGACCTTCGCTGGCAAGATCTTCAAGATGCAAAGCACAAAAGTCACAAAAGAAATGGATTCCTGCATGCATGAAAATTCTATAGGGCCAGCATCTACGGCAAAGCTGGGCAGCCATACAAAGGGACCTTTCCCGTGATATCTGTACGCAACGCCGCAGTGCCCAAGAGATTAGGAACTTTTTCTTGTTACTTGAGGCTTGGATAGGCTTGGCACCAGCGTAGAGGCGCAACAACCAATCGAACACGGATTTTCACCAGGCGCGTTTCCGCCCCCTAGGCGCGGTTGCACGGGCGACCTTCCAAACACGGAGTTGGAGTGAACACCAGTTCTGAGTTTGTCACCTTCCAGTCAAGGGCGACCACAAATGAGCTAGGACCACCCAAAGGGTTGTGGTTAGATGAAACATCAATCTTCAGGGGGGTCGATAAGCCAATCTCTTGAAGCCTTGGGTGGTGCTGGAAGAGGTTTTTTGCACTGTTTGAAGTCACAAAAGCCATGCGGCTGGCTGGGGGGGGGTCGGCGTGCAACCCGCAACGGGAGCGGACCTCGAGCTCGCCGAGCTCGCTCGCTGCAGCTGAGGGGCCCCAGAGTCACCTCCTCGAGCACCCCATGTGCTGAGAAGCCCACGGTCTCGGGCAAGTTCTCCGCACAAATCTGGCGCAGCTCATAAACCCCACCACTGCTGTCACGGGCCCAACAAAGATATGCCAGGAAGATGGAAGAAGTGAAAGAAGTGGATCTTTCAAGATATTTCTTGATCAGATCTTTCAAGAAGTGGAACCAACAATTGATAAGCAACCACCATTTAAGCAACTGCAACAAGTCCCAGCACATCCTCGGGCAAAGAATGGCAAAGACAAGTCAGCGTATCTAAGCAAGAGCATGATTGCTCCAAGGAACAGGCAAGAACCTGGGTGCAAGCTTGACAACCAGGCTAGCTCACAAGAACCTGAGGGTCTGGATTGATTTCCCCCGTTTTTGGGGGGGCAATGCCCTCAAAGGCCGTGTGCTCATCACCCCTCCTTTGGACGGCAGGATGGCCTTGGCATCCTCAATGCTCATCTTTCCCGCCGTCCTCAGCCAGCCAGCGGCCCGGATCCCAAATTCCACCAATCGATTGAACGGCGAGTTGCTGACCAAGTGCCTTCATGGAGAGCCCGCAATGGTCAGGGGCATTTCACCGGGGAGAAATGGGAGTGAAGTTTTCGCCTCATGCCATAGAATCAAGCAGCTGGACCCGGCCCAAACACAAGCCCCACAGCAGTCACAGCGTATCAGTAATTATGCCGCTTGAAAAGGACAGGAATCGTATCCTAACTTACATCACATGGAAACAAAATAAACGCTTGTGAAAGATACAATCACCACAGTAATGTTGCCATTTTGTATACACTTCCCGGCACTGACTTATTTTTGCATTCCAAACGTACATCATTATAGTTGTGATTCTTTCATCTTCTCACTTCGTTTGGTTTTCACTCCGACGATCTCCGACCTCGACCTGGGTCACTGGGCCTGGGCCTTGTCCCCCCGGCATCCAGCTTCCCGTCCGTGCGCCCCCACTCTTCAGGTCCGGCCAGGCGATGCGACCGTTGCAGGTGCCAGGACAAGGCCTCGGTGGACCGACCGCGAGGTCGGTGCAGGTGAACGACCGAGCCGGTGGAGGTTGGAAGAGCAAATAACGAGGCAACTGGAGCATCCAGGGGTACACTTAAAGGAGTGGATGATGTGAGCAGGTGAGCGGATGATGTGTCGTTCCTGGCCATGTTGGTGCATTTTGCTGAGTTGTGCTGAGCATGCACTTGCACAAGAATGAAAGCATCATGGGGGGGGAAGAAAGCAAATGACCCAACAACCTTCCCTCAAACCATACAAATCAATTATGCAAGCAAAACACCAGCACATCCCTTTCACCTGATCTATTTTCCAATCAGAAGCCCCTTTTCAAGGATGTTTTTCACATCTTCTCACCTTCATCTGTTCAAACAACCCCCCTTTTTGGGATCCAAGAAGCAGCCAAACCGAGCGTCCTCCTCCCGGTCGACTCGCCCCCCGCTCTCTCTCTCTCTCTCTCTCTTCCGGGGTTCCCGGACGCAGGTCTCTGCCGGCGTCGACACGTCGCGTCGGACCAGCTTGACCAAGGCGTCGTGGCCGCGCTTGTCTTGCAAACGTGGATTGGCGCCTGGGTCGCGGGCGAGGGTTTGAGGCGGATTCAGGGGACGCGACGAGACTTCCCTGCAGATGTTTCTGCAACATGCTGTCACCCCTCACAGCCTTATTGACTTCAAAAATCCAGTTTAATCCAAGGGTCTGTCTGCAGGCTCCCCCTAAATATAAATTAAGGAACTCCTTCAAACTCCTCAATATCCCTCCCAACCCCACTTTCAGCATGGCTTCCGGACGTCGTGCCAGTAGGAGCTTCACCTCACGTCGTGAAGCACCAGGCGACACGTGCGTCCGTTGTCTCCACGTGCGTTTTCCGCGTGGCTCGACGGCCAGGTGAAACGATGCACGCCGAGGAGCTACTCGGAAGGTCCGAGAATGACAGGCCCAATGGAGAGAAGAGGTCCCATCAGTGCCTGAGCGAAGTCGAGCAGCGATGATGATGCTGCAGTTTCGTCCATCGAAAGATTGCATACAGATTGGCACCGTGTCGCAACGGTTCTTAAATATCAAGTTGCATGGAATTGTGGAGTGGCAATGATGATGTAGCAAAAACGGATCATTTGTGATCATTTCATCTCAGCCCTCCAACGGTCCAAATGCCATACATACCTTCACAACATGAAGCCTTAGCACATCTTGGGGCCCTGGCTGCACCGCGCATCGATGTCTGCGCCCTGGTCCAGCAGCAGCTCGCACATGGCCAGATCACCGGCCTCGGACGGATTTCACCGCTGCGGGGCCCTGCCACGGCTGGGCGACGGCCGCTACCAGGCTACTGTCTACTTCCATCATCTTCCATGTACTTGGAGTTCCGATGTGCACTGCTATCAATCAATCTTTATACCTATCTATATCTACTATATCTATACATCTATATATTGTCTATATCTATATCTCTATCATTCTCTATCTACCTGTCGATCTATCTATCTAGATTTGAAGGCTTACGCCTGACAGCCGGGCGCCGGCCCAACACAGGGCAAAAGTAGGACTGTAGAGGATAGAGGCAAAAGACATGAGGCGACGGGGGCCGGGACGTCGTTTCTTTCTTTCTTTCTTTCTTTCTGTCTGTCTGTCTGTCTGTCTGCCTGCCTGCCTGCCTGCCGGTCTGTCTGTCTGTCTGTCTGTCTGTCTGTCTGTCTCTCTGTCTCTGTCTCTGTCTCTGTCTCTGTCTCTGCCTGTGCCTGTGCCTGTCTCTGTCTCTCTGTCTCTCTCTCTCTCTCTCTTTGAGACTGTGTGGGGCCTATGCTCCCACATCTTGAGGCTATCTTGGCCCATCTCGGGGCAACGCTTCCCATATCTGGGACCTATGTAGGGTCATCTTGCGGCTATATGCCATATCTGAGACCTATGCTGGGTCATCTGGAGGGCTTCTGTCAGGCCATCTAGGCGCACATTTTCCGCCGTTGCTGTGGGAGCGTGCCCAACACCCACGAAATGTCGATTATGCCTGTCCGCGCGGCGCGCATTACCAACACCACCCTTGAAAAACATAGTGTTTTAGCATTTCTCCATCTTCGCCGTGTCGCCTTTCAGTATGCGCAAAAAAGCCTATAAAACGCAGTGTTTTGTGTAACTCACACACACGAAACACTGTAAAACACACGACTTGAGGTGGAACGGAGGTGGGTCGGCGCTCGGGGCGTCGCTCCATAACCTTCGGTTACACCGAAGGCCCTCCGGGCGACACACGAACTGGCCCAGGGGCCGGCGCCCGGACTTGGGGTGGCTGGAGTAGCCATGCTGGCCAAGCCAAATCGGATGCCGGTAATGGGCGCCTCTACTAATACTAATTACAACTCACTCCTTCGAAAGGTGCCTGACTTGGGTCTCTCATTTTTTTTCAAAACATGAATCTTCTGAAGCCTGTCTTCTACGGTTCTTGCGAACATCAACGCGCCTTGGCAGCCTGAACCAAGGGAGGGATGCCCTTCTCAGGGTCGATCTCCAAAGGATTGGCCTCCAAACCAGCTCTGGGGCTTGGAGGGTGAACATGCGTTTTTGCCGGACTTCCACTTTTTGATGATTCCTACATTCGATGCATCTATATCCATGTGTGTGTGATCGAATCTATTGGCACAAAAAACGGCAGCAGGTATAGACAAGCTTGCAGGTCAACTACTAAGTATGGTCCTCCGCTTGATGCACTTGAGGCACGAATCTACAATCAACCTCTCTCCGGTTCACCTCCCTCATGCAATCACACTTCCGCGACATGTCGAACGCGAACGCGAACGCAACAGCTTCATCTTGCAACCACCTGGTCCTCCAAACCATCAAACAATACGTCTTATTGATACCATGGCCGATGCTGCTCCAGTCCGCGGGGTCCACCTGTTCGGTGTCCAAGAGCCAGGTCACCAAATCCACCTCGACCAGTGATGACCGATCCCACCGATCCCGGCGACCCTGGTGACGTGGGATGGCACCAGTGATGGCACCAGTGACTCCTGGTCGTGTTGCTTTTATATTTCCCTTGAAAAGAATCAGGAATCCCATGGGCTTGTTTCCCAACTACCTCTCTTGTATTGGCCAAGAGCAATCTCCGCTCTTGCAAGATCCTAAACACTCACTACAGCACAGTGCAATCAATAATTACAATTAGGAGTGTTTCTGACGAGGCCACAGGCCAACGGTGCCTTTTCGAGTCAAGCTCATCAATCCGTTTTGAGAACCACTCGCCATCGCGCACGCCCAGGCCGCGCACGTCGCCATCGCGCACGGCGGTGTGGAAGTCTGGGCAGCTCTTCTCGATGCTTCGCAACTTAGAACGAAACACCTCGGTGGTTCGGCCACGCGCGTGGGGTTTTCGAAGCGAGAGGTGCGTGGTTTTCGGCCGCGTTGATCGACCAGGTCACCGGAGATCCAAACCTAGTCCGGCGTGCGGAGGCAGTGTGGGCTAATCCACCAGGTGCCGGCCCAAAAAAACCAGGGCCCCGCACGCCGTGATTTTTGGTATGCGCGCGCGGTTTGGTGCGTGGTTTAGTGCGCTGTATACGTGATGATTCACACAAAGCCTGGAGCTGCTCAAAACAGCCCAAGGCTGATGCTACAAGTGTTTGCCACACTGAGGGACAGTGACTTTCCTGATGTTCCGCATTTCTGTTTCAAGCGGTCAAGCTGAGTCAATGCAATTTCCCAGAACAAGCCCGAGAGAGGGACTGATCTCAAACCAGGGCCCTCCGAAATGGCGCATGAGTAACAAAAACGGCTCTGTTCCTCGTCGGAAACGGGGGCTATACCGCCCTGCGTGGCCCGGCACCTCTTCTTCTGCCTTCCAATAGCGCTTCATGACCTCCCCGGGATCCTGGCGAGGCCCCGCTGAGGCGGCCGATCGACTCGATTCGACGGAGTCGAGGAACGTCGGCATGAATCATTAAGCTGGATGACAATAAGAAAGCTGGTGATCAGTCTACCAGTGACAATACAGTAATCATCATTAATCCAACATGATATAAAGCATCTCTATTAAAGATGCTTTGTATCATGGATGGTTGATGAACAAAAACTTCCAGAATGGTTTGACATCTCCATTCGGAGGGATTGTTTGGTGGATATTTGCATACTAAATCATACTAATAGTTTGTAATACTAATAAGTCTACATCAGTCTGCCAGGTCTACATCACACTATACAGTATATATAACCCCCCCCGGGATTCAACTATATTAGACATAAATGAAGAACTGCTTGAAGAGGCCGCCACCACGGGTGCTGTCCGCCCGAAGACTGCGAGGCGGCCGCTGTCCGCCTCGAGCTCCGCCACGTGGAGCGCGGCGTCGGCGATGTCCAAGGCTTGCCGCACGATGAGTCCTTCGATCTCCGAGCGCCCAGAATGCATTGTGGGCGCTGGAGGTGGGGGCGCTTTGTTTTTGGACAAAAAGGCCGGTCATGGCTAGATGAGATGAGAGATCAGCTGAATTGAAGAGGTCCCAAAAGCATCTGCAAGTTCAGAGTACACTGAGTGCACCCAAATGTTTGGAATGTTCCTTGATCGTTCGATTTGTGTGAGAGACCTCCGGTTGCTTCCTAGAAGCGGGATGGGTGTGAAAGAGAATCCGTCTCGTGTACGGCTCTCCCGAGCTCTCCGGTCTCTCTCCTCGGTCCACTGAGCTGGCCAATGCCGCCTTCCGACCGACCGCCGGCTCGCCGAGATGGAGGCCCTTCTCCGGACAGTAGGGGGGAACGTCCGGGATGAAGACATCGGGCCCAAAAGCATGATTCTTCCGAACGAAATTGCCAGGACAATACCTTTCACTCAAAGGCTGCTGGGTAGGGCAGTTCACCCCACTGCAGAAACACTTGCCAAAGCAAGATCACTGCACAACCTGCGGGAATGCCAGAAATGGCCCGGTTCTAAAAGGAACACGGCCATATCGTTTCAAAAGCTTGATCTTGCTGTTCTTGCTTGGGGTTCATCTGCTTCAAAGGCCGTCATGACATCCCGTGACCTTGCAGCTGCTTAGAGCATTCCCAGGAATTTCCGGTCACAAGAACTCCAAAATGACTGTTTTACTCAGGTGTCCCCTTGGAGAATTGAATGCTGACCACAGGAACTGAGAAAAAAACACATGTTGCCTGAAAAGGACTGATATACTAACTGAGCTACTAACTGATGCACTATATTGATATACTAACTGAACTGATAGAACTGATATACTAACTGAGCTACTAACTGATATTATTGTGACTGATGATCATGTCAAAATGTGCCTCCCAGCGGCCGACGACGACTCGAACGAAGAGAGACATCCTTTTTTCTTGCCAGGCTGTCTGCGGTGGGCATCGACATGGGGGAGGTGTCTGAATGATTTAAAATTCCGCTCGCTGGCCCAACTAACAGGTCTAGGTGCTCCTACTAGTGTGAAAACCCATCGAATCACCGTGATGTTCGTCCTCAAGCTGGAAATCTTCCTATATAATATTAATTTCACGCCGCTGTAGCCGCTTTGGCTTAGCAAGCAGCTCAGACCCATCCCCAGCCATCAGCTCCGACGGGTTAAGATCGGGAGACAGCTCAGGTGCTTCACTACAGGCCATTTGATCAACACGGTACGCGGGTTTGAGCACGTTTACCAGTTTACCTGGGTACCAAAGTCCGCACAACAACACCGGGGGATGTCCACTGGCCGATGCCTTTGGGCAAAGTGATCTCAAATCATCAAAGCTGTCTCCAAGCGGCATTCAATAATATCTTGATGACTAAAATCTGCTGTAGGTGCTCGTGCCATGGGAAGCCATGCAAGCAACAGCAATAGCATGCAAATCTGGGCACTGGCTCGCCATATGTCTCCGTGTCTCCCCGCAGCGGATCGTGGCAAGGGACTTAGGGCCCACATCAGTTCAATGCCCTGCATGGCCATCCCACTTCCACCTCTTTCAGGATTTGGTCCTGTCTCTCATGGAGAGGAGATTGGCAATTTCTCCCGCTTGGAGACGCCGAAGGTGGCTAAGACAGCCAGGGCAAACCTGGAGCTTGGCAACCCATTGGGATTCGGGCCATAGAAAGCAAAGGGTGCGTGGTGGATTGGTATGCTAGAGGGGGCGATGCTTTGCGAGGCGTGTGAGGCGAATGAAAGCAGGAAAAAAAAACACGTTGCACCTCCCCAGGTGGTAGGATATGCAAAAATGTAGCAATCCTGAATATCAGCTTAGCTTGGGGAGAACGAAAACAACAGAAGGACCATGCAAAACCTCACCGCTGCAAACTATGCACGCACAAAAACGGTGCACATCTTCTGAGGATTTCTCAAACAAGTAGAAGATAGGATAGCACAGGGCAGGGCAGGACAGGAAGATAGATATATATATATATGTATAGAGAGAGAGAGGGAGATAGAAAAACAAATAGGATAGGATATGATAGGATAATAAGATAAAATGGGGAAGATAAGATAAAATAGATAAAATAAATACAATATGATGCAACATGATTCAATGAATAGATAAGAACAAAAAAAGAAAGAAGGACATGAATAAAGGAAAAAAACATTGAGAAGGAACGACATAAACAAGAAACAAATACAGAATATAGTGGCAAACTGTTGAGGGCCTCTTCGCAGCAAACAACCGTGCAAAGCCCAAGTGACAAACCTGCACAAATCGCAAATCGTGTCTGGCTGCTCATGCGCGTCAGCAGCAATAGAAGCACCAAGAGGTTCCTCGGAAACGAGCCCAGCAAAGCTCTACACCAACGGCACCCAACTAGGATTTCTCGTCCAGGAGCTGGCCTTACTACTAGGAGCAAGGACGCTACTAGGGGCTCCTGGCATCGCCACTAGGAATAGGAAGCTACTAGGGGCTCCTGGCCTTACTACTAGGAGCAAGGACGCTACTAGGGGCTCCGGGCATCGCTACTAGGAATAAGAAGCTACTAGGGGCTCCTGGCCTTACTACTAGGAGCAAGGACGCTACTTAGGGGCTCCTGGAATCGCTACTAGAAGCTACTAGGGGCTCCTAGCCTTACTACTAGGAGAAAGGACGCTACTAGGGAAGAATCTGAAGGGGATTCACCCCATGAGAAACATTGCCCGATGCGCAAAACCAGAAGGTGAGCCCAAAAAGTTCCCACCCACCCGTGATTTCGACAAACACCCTTGAACACCCAAGAACAACAGGACCGGATGGAGCAGCAACCTGCACCCGATCTGAGTCGCATCGAGCGGTCAGGTGCCTTGAACACCACGTCACCACGTGTCATCCAAACAAATTGAATGAACTTCCCCGGAGTTTTTGTCTTCCTCATCTTCCTCCTTTGGATGTGAATATGCCAGCATCTTCATTCATCTAGAGATGTTTTGGATCTCCAACTGCGTGAGCCAAAAAGGGTGTTTCCATTGTTCTGGTCGTCGGTCCACCCGGGTCCACCGGTCGCCGGCCACGTCAGCCACGCTTCAGCGGGACGCGGAAGAGGTTGTACATGGATCCCCGGATCGCTTCCGGAACGGCTTCGCTCTTCATCAGGCCAATGCCTCGGGAAGAACAAAGGGTTGGAAAAGAAAAGAAGCCGCACTGTTTTCGGTAGGTTCAGAGCACCGGCTCAAATGCACAGCCTTCCTACCAAAATATGGATATATAACTGGATATGATATGATATTATATTTTTTTTTGCATGGTTGCCTTGCAGCGATCTCATCTGGGGCGAAGAATGCACTACTACTTGCCAGGTTGCAAGGGAAGTACCATCCGACGCAGAATTCAAAGGTCATAAACGCGATGAAACAGCAGCCCGTTGCGCCGCACCTCAGGAGTTCTTTTTGTGGCCAACTGCCGATGATGATCTGCCAACTGCCGATGTTAACAACCGTGCTTTGTTCGGATTTTTTTGGGGGATGTTTGAGGAAACGGGGGACTCAAGGAGAGCATATAAAGGGATACAGTGTGAATCTATCAGGATTTATCTTCAGCCCCTTTATGTCACAAGTTTGCTACACAAACTTCGACATACCAGCCAAAGGAAAAATATGGAAAAATTGATCTCCAACAAATCCAAGACTCGCGCTTCGAGAAGCTACCGCAAATGCCACCACACAAAGCAGCAGGATAATCCGCAGCTGCCTGGCTGCATCTGCATCTTAGACCGCAAAGAGTCCCAGTACACTGTTTAATGATGTTTAATGCATAATTGGCCCCTGGAAAACAATGGAAAACCACAAACAAGTGGATAATAGGCCCCTGGAAAACCATGTTCCACAAAAGAGGCGGTTTTCCCCTTCGATTCATGATCTCGGGGAGTGTACTGCGATTCCCGACCTTCGATTCAGCCTGGGGCTGGTCATTTTCGTTGAGGCCCCGTGCATCGATTGCAGTACTTCAGTTGCTCAAACCAACCGTTCTTCTACTAAGCACACTGGAAGAAGAGATGCAGTGGCTGTGACATAGATATACCATGATATACCTGCCCAAGAACCTCTGTAAACATGGTGTTCCTCTACCCTCATTGTCCTCTCTTCTTGACCCTTGGAGACGCGATGCCTTCACGGATGCTGACGGATATCCTCGCTCGCGCGCCAAACGGCTCTGGCCTCTTCGGCCGAGCGGTGTGGCCATGCCGTGCTCGGAGCAGGGTGGCCACCGAGGCACCCGAGCTGGCAGAAAGCATGAAGAGCGCGAAGATCAGGCCATGAGGCACCGATGATTCGGCTTGATCCCCGTCCTAAGGAAGAAGATAGGCGGCGAGAAGATGCGGCAAGGTGGACATAAGGATTGCATTTTGGGGGATTCAGCGGAGGATTGCTGAAGAAATTGCGTAGTCATCTCCAGACTGAGTGAAAACATCAATGTTCTTGGATCCTCAGCTGCTCGTTGTGACTTCTTCGTGGAATTTGACAAGGGGTTGCAGGCCAGAGGCGTTCTACAGTTCTAGCAGTTTGTTTCTGAAATGTGAGGTGCGTCGATTGGCGTGATATGCCCTTCCTCATGGTGTTGGTGGGCTTGGAGACGCTGTTGCTGAAACATTTCAGTCTCCATTGGTGATGATCTTTTTCAGCACAAATCTTCACATCGTGTGAACGAACGTGAAACAAGTATCCCTGAAAAGAACAGAGCCTGGCGGCATCTTTAGCTCGCTGCGAAGTGCCGCCAAAGGCACTAAGGCAGGTGTCCAGTTCGAGACAAACACGTACATGGATCCCTCGAAAATGGCCACGACGAAGCACAGACGTCTGCACTTGGGATCCTTGATCAGCCAGCGAAGTGCATCCGGCTGCACTGGCTCAGCAGTACCGGAACAAGCCTGTCCTGTTCTCAGAAGCGAGGCTCACGGGAAATACCCCACCAACTTGAATGACTCATGCCAGAGTGCTTAGCAAAACTTTGGCCAGGTGACTACTCCTGCAGTAGCAGTGTCGGCTAACGGCTATACTGCTATACTGCTTGATTGAGAATCCCCAATGCTCCCCACCCATACTTCCTTGATTCCACAAACAAACGGTTCTAAAAGGTTGTCTCATTTAGCGTAAGCATCCATAGTTCTCTGTCCACAGTAGCGCAATGAGAATGAAGCCCAAGCACAGCAGCCCTGCAGAGAGGTCGTATGGCAGTGTGTAGCCGCCCACATAGAAGCTCGCACCACCCAAGCTGGGTCTCAAAGGGGTCTGGTCGACCAGCAGTTGTGCCGCCATGCCAGCAAGGACCGCCACGAAGTACATGGAGAAAAATTTGAGGCCAAAGGTGTAGGAGAGCCTCAAACGAAAAATTTGCGGCTCCCTGGGGTAACCAATGGGGTAGCCAATGGGTCTATTCTATCTGGTGGCTGCTGTTGACCTTTGCGGCAATCCATGGTCGATTTTGAGTTGCTTGCTTGCTGTATTACAGCTAACATGTATATAATATTAGTTTGTAATTATGCCGAGTTTCTACATGCAGTGTAACAGTGTGGCATGTAAAAGGCTGCATGGCAAAGCCACCAAAGGAACAAACAAATAGTTAAACCACATCCAAGTCTCAGGTTGGAAGAGAAGCCTCGGTTATATCACCCTGATGGAGCGTCCAAAGCACAAAACCAAGAGCAGCTTCTGGACAGTCTATAATTACCATCTAGTCTATACTCATCTTTACTGCCGACCTCATGGGAGATCTTCTAAGCATCTTTCCATTCCTCCAGTGACGGCCTCTTTGCTTCTCGGTGCTACAAAGACAAAGACCAGTCCTGCAGTCAAAGGAGCGGTGCCGAAAGGTATGCTCAGAGACCATCCAGCACTCGAAGCACGAGAAGAGGAGGGCGGTCCCAATGCCCCCGCAAATGCGTCCCAGCATCAAAACTGGATAAAGGTTCCAGTGCATCAGAAGCCCTGCAAGACCGTGGAAAATGCAGTAGGCCATGCAGCATTTCTTGCGCCCGAAGCAGTCCTATAAGGAAAGCAACCGATGCAGTTCATCGGCAAGAGTGCAAGTCCATACTGTAAAGGTGCTTCAAAGGTGGTCCGTTACGATCAGATGGTCTTGTTACTTGTTCAATGGAGGAAGTCCAGGAGGACTGAGTCGGGTGAGCTTTCAGAAGCCCTTGACGTGGGTGGACACAAGTCACGGTCAGTTGATGAATCAAACAGTCAATTTCGCAACTCACATCGTTTTCAACTGTTTTCAGTCAGTGCGTGGGCTGCGTCAATACTACCAGAACACATCAACTGAAGCAAGCAAGCATCTGCCAAGGACCCAATGCCACAGCTACAAATGCCTGATGCACCATAACCACCTGCAGGGTTTTGAACCACAAAGCCACAAAGCTTCCCGAACTTCCCATGAACTTCTTCGTTCCGAGTGCCATCCGACACATGTGTCCAACATCCCTCTGAGATGCTATGATGCATCAAGCCGAATTGGTACAGAAATACTCCCCTTTCCAGGCCCTTCCAGTGGCGGCTGCCAAGCCAAAATTTTGCGCGCACCGATCGCGCGGAACCCCAAAAAATGCCACAAAATCACCCCCTCTGCACCGACAAAGAGGGCCATGATGGCAGACTCGGAATAGCCATAGGCGGCATAGAGGGCATACAAATAGGGCCCTTGGAGCCAGTCGGCCGCCACGCAACACATCCAAACGGCCAAATAGCTCCTTAGGAGTGGGCGAGAGTTTTTTTGGGGGCGTGGGCACACAGCAAAGCTTGAGGCGAGGACACACAGGGTGCAAAACCATAAAATTGATGTTTGCTATAGTATATAGTTGAAAGAAGGCCATGTGTGAACACCATATGAGTGTGTATCCCAAAGAGGGGTTCTGAGCTCCACCATGCCATCAAAAGTAGGTATAGGCGGTATACCTTACGTGAGGGTTGTGCATGATGGAACGGCCCCAAGCAGGGGTCCAAATCAGAAAGTTTAAGCCAAACGCCCAGACCGCCTGGACCCAAAAACAAGTAGTAAACAAGAAATGGTGCCGGATTCTTATGTGTAAAGACCTGTTAGAATATACAATCTCCAGTATGTTCCAGGCAGTCGAGCTTCACTAAGTGTTTGTGAAAGCCGGCTGGAAGCTCCTCCATCACTGCAGGTCTGGCCAAATATGCGAGCATCAAGCTCAGGCATAAGGCTGGTAGAAGCAACCTCGCTGCAGCAGGAAACGACCTTTATGGTGATACCCCACGCACAACTTGACAACACCACGACTTGGCTCCCCTCGCGGGTCAGGCAAAAGGTTGCACCCAGTGAAGGCTGTGAGCAGAACAGTAGCTTGAAGCAGTATAGCCATCAAACTGTTCCCCAGCATTGCATTTGCCCGATAAAACCCATTCTAGACCCATTTGGAACGACACTTCGTTGACATCGTGACATGCGATAGAAATGGGTCGCCATCCGTGGTACGGGAAAGGGGCCTTGCTTGGATGTTTTTGTGAGCAAAATCACACCTAAAAATTGGTAGGTGACAACTGTACTTGGTCAAGCCGTTTGCAAAGGCAGGGCCTAACACGTGCAAACTGGAATCATCTGACAACCAAATTCGGTGCATCCTATATAGGCCGAGCTATTTATACATATTTATACAATATCAATCGTACATACCGCCTCCAGCCCACCAGTTCTTTTTCAACAAACAACCCCACCCCCCAAAAAAAACAACAAAAACTCAACTGGAGCCCAGGTGCGTGTGGTAAACGGATTGCTTGAGCCACTCCACACTTGAAGCAATCTCCAAGGTTCCAGGCAACCCACAAGCGCCGCCCAATGGAGCGAAGTTCGAGGAGAGAATGGAATCCATTGAGACATCACGAGGCACTGGCCAGTGAAATCATGTTCAAATGCTTTTGGATGGATTTTGCTCAATGTCGTGTCAGTAGGTGCGCGGAAATATGTCTACAGGGGCTACCAGATGCTACCAGCATGGCTACGCTGGCCAGCCTGATGGGGTCCTGGAGTCGAACTTTCGTGGATCGTCGTAGCTCCCAGCAAGGTATTTGGTTTGGTTTTGGTCTTCAGGTGTTCAGAAATACATTGGCCATCATGGTCTCCACGTATGTTCATAAATCCTGCACGGCAGCATGTCCGTCTATGCACTCTTCCGTGTTTCCAAGAAGCGTTACAGTAATTGGTTTGTAGCAGTGACGTTTGAGATCCAGTTGTTTCATAGCCACATTTTCCGGAGTTTACACGTGGCCTGCTAAAGTTCCTTTCCGGTGTCTGCACTGCATTCTGAGCCAAATAGCTACCCTGCAGCACCTTGCAGCGACACCTCCGAAAGGGACAAGTAAACTTATAAAAAACAAATTTTTCCAGGTACGCTATATATAACATTGGCAAAACTTAGCAAAAATCTACAAATTATTTGTATACATTGTACATGCACTCATTCTAGTTTTCTCTCAGCTAAACTTTCACCCAGGCACCCACAGTCTCCATCCTCCGCCCGAAAAAACCACGCAATAACACCTCTATTCACACCGTCCACACCGAGTACCATACGCACGCACTTCTTTCACGCATCCAAACAACCACCCCGTTCACCTCTACCTCTCCCTCTCTCTCCCACAGTTGTTGGGCGCCTCGATCCCGCGGATCACCGTCATGAACAGCAAGGCTTCAGCCCTGCGCCGCAAGGAGGTGTCGGCGCCTCCGCAGCGAGGAGGGGTGGACGGTGAAGGCGCGTGACGGGGGCGCCGACAGCGAGGGTCCGCGATGGTTGGATATGGTTGGAAAATGGTGGAAGGTGGGCTCTTCGTGGAAGATGTGTTCCAACGGTGGTGTGGGCAGAATCAAAGGGTCTCAATGACATCATCAAAGAAACAGGATGGCAGGGCAAGTAGCGAAGTGGAAATTGAAAGGTGGCGCATTTGGGTTCAAGTTGGGATTTAGCAGCGGTGCTCTGTATAGTATAAGAATGCTCTGTTCTGAAACACCTCGTGCCCGTCCACTGTGAAATTGTTTTGTTTAATGAGTTTATGTGAAAACCACGTGTCTGGACACAAGAAGACCCCCACTGGAATGGAAGCCGCTGTCCAATGGTGAGCTCAGGAATGTGACCCACATTAAGCCAGGATGGGGCTGCGCCCATGTCGTTGGTCACACGTCTTAATCACATCGTACGTGGAAAGGGCCGTGTCATCTGAGACATCCCTGGCCGGACAAAATTAAGGGGAAGTGAAGCATGGATTCCTGATTCCTCAATCCTGACTGTCGAGAACGATGCCGGCAAGAGACTCCAAACAGTGTGTGTAAGGTCTATAGGCAGAAAGTCTAGAGATCTAGATGCATTGGGGTCCAGAGAGGTGATGGGTGGTGATGAAGGTGGGGATCGTGGCGGTGGTGGTGAGAGAGTAAGTGTGAGTGTGAGTGAGAGTGAGAGTGGGAGTGGGTGCGTGAGAGTGAGAGTGAGAGTGAGAGAGAGAGAGAGAGTGAGAGTGAGAGTGAGAGTGAGAGTGAGTGTGAGTATGAGTGAGAGTGAGTGTGAGTGAGAGTGAGTGTGGGTGAGGGTGAGGGTAAGTGAGTGTGAGTGCGAGTGTGAGTGAGAGTGAGAGTGAGAGTGTGAGTGAGAGATAGTGAGAGGTGGGTGAGTGAGTGTGAGTGCGAGTGCGAGTGTGAGTGAGAGTGAGTGAGAGTGAGAGTGAAGGTGGGTGAGTGAGTGTGAGTGAGAGTGAGTGTGTGTGAGTGTGAGTGTGGGTGAGTGAGTGTGTGAGTGAGAGTGAGAGTGAGTGTGAGTGTGAGTGTGAGTGAGAGTCAGTGAGTGTGGATGAGAGTGAGTGTGAGTGAGGGTGAGTGCGAGTGTGAGTGAGAGTGCGTGTGAGTGCGAATGTGAATCTGAATGTGAGCGAGTGAGTGTCTGAGTGTGAGTGAAGAGCAAGTGTGGGGTGTGAGCGTGTGTGAGTGAGTGAGAGTGAGAGTCGAGTGAGCATCTGAGAGCACAAAGTGCTGCGCCTGCCGCGAAATCTGCACTTCGAGGTTCACCAAGCGCTGTGCCTGCCACGAAATCTGCACTTCGAGGTTCACCAAGTGCTGTGCCTGC